ATACAGTCTAATCCAATATAGGTAACCGAACGCGCCCTAAGGACTTATAGATAAAGTTTATCCCTTTAACATATGAATACATAATCCACCACCTCCATATGCACCCACGTGACAACCCAGAAAATAAGAAAAAAATGGGGTTTTGAGATCCTACAGCAGGTGAAATTCATCATGTGGTTTTATACCGTAGATCTATATAAATAACTACCCACTAAGCACACATACACATGGGTGTGTGTTATTATGTGTAGATCTATAGTTTAAAAGTACACGATATATTTCACCAGGTGTAGATTGTACAAAGCCGAAAAATCATAAAAAAAAAAAAATCAATAACTAAATAAACTTATTGAGTTTTAGCCTTCCACAATCCACACGTAGTTATTTGAAAGTGTAGGGTAAGAAATATCTTTAGTCAATAGAAAGTCGTGTTGATTCCTAAACTTTAATTTGCATCTTGATAATTAATTAATTGATATTAAAAAAAAATTAAAAACAAACATTGTAAGTGAACAAACACATGCCAGAAAATATTCAATCAAGCACCTAAATTTGAAAGAAGGAAAAAGAAGATATATATTCATATGTTTTGTACACAAGACTGCTTTTCCAGAAAATCAAGAATATCTTCTGACCCATGCATGCATGTATGTGTCCTATGTTGATTGTTGATATATATAAAATTAAAAAAATAATAATAATAAATAAATAAATAATTCAAGAAAATACAATAATTAATGTTATTACCAGACTTTGAAGTCAGTAAAAGAAAGATTCTAGAAAATTGTCCAGAAAAAATCCTGGTCAAGTCAATTCTCATGATATGCAAAATCATCATAATTTATACTTATACTATATATATATATAATGTAGATACACACACAGGAACACCATCTTGTGCGTGTGTTAATGGTCCATTATATTATTACATAGAGATTTAGAGGACCACTATGCAGGATTTTGTTTAACAGGGCATGAAACATTGTAGTGACCATATATATATAATATATATAATATATATATGTATGTATGTATATATATAGGAGATGGGGATGAATGGGCTAAGTGTAGTGTTTTCTTTTGTTATGGGATCTTGTCCTATCATTTTGGATGATGATATACCTTGCAAAAATCTATTGTATTTCATCCCCTTTTCTGTTAGGAATATTGAAATCTATATATGATAATAAATCGTCGAAGATTTTTGCCTAATGTTATATGTTACGTTAACGAAAACAGACGCTACAAGTGTTTGTGCGTGATTGAACGGTAGCAATTGTTTTAGACGAGAAAAAATATTGGAGATATTAATATTAAATTATGCATTTCACTAAAAACTTACGTTTTTGGCTGAGATGATCATTCAATATGGTATCAGAGCTAGACCAAATAAAAGGTCTGAGTTCGAATCCCACATGCTTCAAATGTAATTCACCTGCACTTGACGATAATAATAATAATAATAATAATACTGATAATAATAATAATAATAATAATAATAATATTATTATTATTATTTAAAAAGAATTAAAAAGAAAAAGGAAGAGAGAGAGAAATAAAACATATGGAAAAGAGTTTCATGAGTGGACGGTATATTTACCTAAACCCTGCATGATTCACTGACTCTAGATATTCTGATTCCTTTTTCTTTTTAACCATGGTACATTATTCTTTTACTGTTCTAATTTACCAAACCCAATTTAATATTCTTTTGGACTCTTACTTTCCCGGGCCAAAAACAAATTGGGTATACGACCCGACCCGACCCCAATAGAATCTACTCGCTATAGTTATAACTTATAAATTATAATCACAATAATTGAAAATTATCCAAAAGAAGTACTACTGGATCTCAAAATATATATTTTGCCAAATTAAAACATCATCATCTCTAATTAAAATTAATTAAAAAATTACCCCCAAAATGTGATAAACATAGCTTTAGATTTTTCAAGTTACACAACTCTTATATATATTTGAGCACATCATTATTTTATTTAAAATATAATTTGCATGCATTTGCAATCAACCTCAAAAGTTAAACCCCGACCCGAGATCATTTTGATTATTGTAAATACGTGTGCAGAAGAATAAGACTAATCGAGTTTGATTCGTATTTCATTCGTATTATATCCCAATTAAAATGAAAATAAGACTCAAACACAAATTAACGAGTTCGTAAACAAAAAGTAACAATTTTTTTTTGCTTCAAATGCCAAGCACTTAAATTACTCTTAAATGAAGAAAAAAACGAAAAAAAAAAAAATATAAAAAATAAAATAAAAATAGGTTACGTAGGAATCTTGGTACACATAATTTCGGTGTAATAACTAACACATAATGAATTATATTAATGAAATCTTCATGGTTTTTGCAGTTTGGACCAAAAATTACGAGGCAGAGTGACAACCGCGTCATCATGCATGGTACAAGAAAACAAGTACAACGTACAACACAATTAAAGTAATTGCAGATAGGCCCCTCCTAGCGAAGTTAATACACTAATAATTATTTACTTCAAAATGACCCAATCACCAAATCTATAATTTCCACCTCAATCATATTTCACATTTATATTTTTATATGAATGCGGACTTTATTAGTTTTCAATGTAATTAGGTGCAATTCTGAATTAAATGGCCGTTTTTGCACGTGACTTATTTTCTTCTATCACTCATTCACACTGACCCAGCCAGAATACACGGTTAAAAGGCGTCCGCCCTCACAACATTTCTCAAATTTCTATTAATTTGTACAGAAATATAAAAGTTGCGATGTGTGAATTGGGATGCTTATGATGTTTTTTTTTCTAATAAAAAAACAAAATTCATTTCCAAATTTCGTCTAATTTACCGCCGTAATTTTTTGCTAATCAAGTAAGTTATTGGGTCTATGCGATGTTGCACCTGATGTAACACACCAGGTAATTTTAAACATTGATCTTTATGAATAACCACCCAGTAAAACACATATACATGAGTGTGTGTTACTATGTATAGATCAATGATTTAAGATCGTCCAGTGTATTTCATCGAGTGTAGCATTTAAAAAAACTCAACTAATTGTCGGCATAACATAAAAAAGTCACTTTATTTGATGAGAGAATCCTAAGATTTTGGGCTACAAAGATTTGTTGGTTGAGAAGTAGGTGTGATTAGTATGGTGTGAACCACCATTTATAATTAAAAATTCAGCCAAAATATTTAGTATTTGATTTTGATGGGTCCATGCCTATTAAATTAATAAATCCACATATATTGTTAATTTTGTTTAATAATAATAAAAAAATTATGTGAATTATATCATGCTATAGGAAAATTAATTTTAAATGTGTGACATACAAATTAATACTTTGTCCAATTAGGGTGGACACACCATTGGCTGTCTTTAATCAGCCAGCAAGCACCTATTTATTTATCTATTTATTATTATTTAATTTTGGAAAACACGTGATAGAAAATAAATAAAAAGTCAGATGTTTCATGGATGAATTAAGTAGGACATAGGCAATAATCTCCACTACATTAATGTATGTGGTTATAAGTTTGCTTTATTATTCATTAGTTTTGATTTCTAGATAGTTTTATATAAGTTTTAATTCCATACTCGGTTAATTGTGTTCCAAAAAAAAAAGAGAAAATTGATTCTAGTACAATATTTCGCATCCCGAATTCTAAAAAAATAATTATAATTTTCAATCCAATTTTAATTTTATAAAAACTCTGATTTTCTTGTTTCAAAAAATTACACTTATTATATGTAAGTAAAAAAAAAAGAATTTTAAATTCCGATATATAATTTAAAATCGATTTAATTAAAACAAATTTTTATTTTTTATTTTTATTCCATGATTTAAAATTTCATTTAGATTTATGATAGTCACTGATAATAACTAAAATATAAGGCCCAGGTTGGGTTTAAATAAACCCACTAATCAAAATGGGCTCAATACCTTTGGGCTCTCTCGCCTTATTTTCATTTCCCCATAAGTTTTAGAGGGCTGCTTTAATTTGTTATATGTACGGCGTTCACTCGGAAAAATTAGAGATGAAAATCGGACGAAATTGATCGAAAATGATTTTTTGTATTTTTTGGGAAAAAATTTAAATTTTTTCGGAAGTAAATAATGCGTTTCAGTTTTCGTTCCAAAAAAATCAGAATGCAAAAATTCATTCCGATTTCGGAATCGACGGAATCTCGAAAATTTGGGAAATTACGTTAGTTTATAATCTCTTGTTTCAAATTCTGATATAATGAAAATTTTCACAATATTTTTCTATTTTTTTGAAATATTGCAAGAAAATGCAAGAAAATTCAAAAGAGAGTCGACAAAACGCAATAAATAAAAACATGTAGGAACAACAAATTAAAAACATAGATTTTCTTGTAAGTAAAAATGCAACATAAATTTTCGGATAGCATCTAATTTTTCTAATGTTTTAATTTACCTGACCCTTCGTTATTTATATTTTTCATGTAAAATATAAGATAAGTTATATTATGAAATTACAAAATGTATCATAAAATTATATTATATATTTCGGAAAATCATAGAAATATTCGGAACTAAAATCGGTTCGGAAATTGGAATTTTCGGTAATTTTACATACCACTCCGATTCCATTACAAATAAATTCGAAAAAATCAGAAATCAGAACTTCGAAAATCGGAATGATAAATATGGTTCCAAATTCAGATATTTTCGGGACGGAATTTGGAAATTCCATTCTAATTTCCACCCCTAGGTAAAGCCGGACGTCCTGAATTTCGGTAAACTGAATTTTCGGTACTTCAAAAATTTGTACAGTTTACTGAACCGATCTATTCGGTTCGGCACGATTTTTTACCGAATTATTTCGTTTTTTCAGTTCGGTAACCGTAAATCCGCAAATTTATATTTTATTATTAAAAAAGGTAAAATAAAATATTTAAACTAATTATTTTCCCGACAGGCACCCACTACTCAAAATCAATTTCATCCAACAACTAGGTTACAAAAATTGAAAACAAATAATGTTTTGACAAAGAGAGAGAAATAAATAGTACACACATATCTCTACAAAATACAAATCTACAAAACCAAATATTATCAAATACACCATGCAATTCAAAAAGCAAACAAACACCATAATAAAATACACTAGCTTCCACAATATTCCTAAACAAGAAGACAACATTCAACAACTAAAAATAAATTTAAAAAAAAAATAACAATAATAATAATAACAAGAAAACAAAAGCAAACAACAATCAAGAAATATTTCTTGATTACAATTTATGTATCACATCATCAACCCGGATCCACTAAATTTCTCTCGAGTAATCCGATCGAGTTTTTCGACCATTTCGTCGCTCATATAATTCTTCCAATCCCCGACAACACCCCGGCGGAAAAACGCCTTATTCTCCTCACCGGACGACAATTTCCCGTTCGTATTAATTTCCAATGAGCTCAAATTATCGAAGCTACACAACTTCAAGATTCCCTCCACGACCCCCGATTCCTCTTCGGCCGCAGAAAAACCGAACCCTAAAAAATCCGCCAACCTACGCAGACAAACCCCGGGTTCCTCCTTCATCTCCTCAAACTTCACAAACATAACCCTATAGGAATATTCTCGGCTAAGATTCCAATACTCCAAAACATGATCCCAAAACGGCCCGAACAAACTCACCCCCCGACAGAACATATCGAAAACCTCGTCGATGCAGTTAGTGGCCCCCCCCGATTTTTCTTGACTCCTCAACTTGTTAGTGAAATGCCATAGGGAAGTGAAAACGTCTTTAGGGTTTCTGCAGAGGTACACGATCTTGCATGCGGAGCTTTTCTTCACGGATTCCGGTAACGACACGTGGGGTAAATGTGTCGAGAAAAGACGGGGGGTCGAAAACGTGGACAAATCGGGGATTTGGTTGTCCACGTAGAGCTTGATTTCGAGAAAGGGGACGAGATCGTGTGGGTTATTGTGAAGCAAAGGATGGTTTTTATCGGTGGTGGTGGCGACGGGGTGTTTCGTTCGGATTGTTAAGGCGAAGATGATTGCCTTGAGCCACGTGGTGCCTGATTTGGGAGTTGTGACTAGGAAAATGTCGGAATCTAGTGTTTCGACGAAGTTTTTCTGACATGCGATTACGCCCTGGAGATGCCTGACCGGGTACCAGAAACCCTGGAATCGGTAGAGGTGAGAGGAGAGCCAGCCTTTTTCTTTCGGGAGGGTTGCGATTATTCGTTTGCATTCTTCCGTTAGGGTTTCTTCTTCTTGTAAGTATTTCGGTGGGAGTTGTACTCGAGAAATGTTTTCGGATGGCATTTTCTTTTCTTTCTTTTTTGTTTTTTTTGTTTGAGAGAGTTTGATTTTGTATTCACCTGCAGTTATGCATGTGTATATTTATATGGTGTGTGTGTGTGGCATGGTGTGGTAATAAGAAAAGTTGAAGAGGGAGAAAGAAGGAAAGAAAACTACTAGGATGTATTTACTCCAATTGTACCAAATGGTGTTTTTAATTAAAAAAACACTATTAAATTGATTTATTTATGACATGCCACATGTCATTTTCCCATTGGACATTAAACAAAATATTGGCAAGAAGAATTAAACTCAAATGATTAGAATCACACTAGCTCATACATTTAAGAGCACGTGGTACAGTCAAAGTAATATATCTGTCATCACATGGTAAATATAAAAATGAAAGTGGTCCTTGTTTCTTGTTAAATTTCATTTTCGGCTTTTATCAGAACCTGGAAAAAAAATAATAATGATGTACATATGTTATTTTACTTTAAAAACAAAATCCACTAAGATGGAATTGTGAATTGGGTAAATATATTATATTATTAGGACCACTCTGTGTTGCAAGCACCAAATAAATTTGCAATGGAAAAAGTGGTCCCAAGGAAATAACCATAACTGCACGTACAAGATTCCGAAATGGCACCACTTTAATTCACCCATTATTTTGTACTACTCCTTTGTGCTTGTACACTAATTTTAAATTTATTTTCAAAACAAACATGGCATTATTTGTGAATTATTTATAAGTGGGCCCAATCACACTTTAAATCTAAGTGTATCACAACATTGGATTCAGTTCAAACTCTCGTGAAAGTTCAAGTCGCTGGATCTTTGACGTTCATCTAGTTATTTAAAATGTTCTCTCGAACCTAATCTCTTTCTCTCATTTCTTCCATTGTGCCTCTCTTTTCTCTTCTCTCTATTTCTGCATTATGTCTGTCATCTATTGTTTTTTTGTTTTTTTCCCGGCGACACTTTACGGTCTTCGTTGTACAATGGGAGACATTAACTCTGTAGCACATTTCATGCTACAAACTGTTGTTTTGTTGGCTATATATTCTTGTTATAAAGAGAGATAAGTGTAACACACTGTTTTCAAATTCAAACCACTTTTTGTCTTCAATCTTCGTCTTCTGCGAGTACATTGAATATTTATGCGTAAAATATTGGGTTTGATGAGTGGTTGAGAGTGTTCATGTTGATTGGTTGTCTGCCCATGTGTTGATGAGTCAACTCAATGGTGAGTGGAGATAGATCTAGAATTCCTGAGTTTGGGTAAATGTTTTCGTTCTCGAGATCTATTGATGAATAAAAGGACTGGATTGTGTGAAGGGGTTAAAATTGATCGTGTAAAAGTTTAGTATCTTTTACGACGAAAATAAACACAATCGACAGAATCCTATATTTCCACTATAAGAAATTGCTGTATTCCACCAAGATCAGATTGGCCCGAAAAGCCCTTCTCTCTATTAGAAGAAAGAAGCCCATAATACTTCTTTTGTGTTGATGTATACAATACAATCAACTACCATCACATAATCACTTAAAAGTTCTTTTTCCACCCCAAATATTATCAAGAATACATTACCAGACCTAAATTGTTTTTCGAAGAAAGCTCGAGACTATTTTTTGGGGCGTCGGTTGGGCCACTTTCCCACCATATTTACGGTACCACTTGGCGTATCTATCGAGTAATTATAGCTCTAACACATATTACAGACCCCCACATCACAATGAGTAGTTTTTACATGCCAAAAAAGGCATGAATGCGAGTCGGGACCAAAATGTGAATGGAAATATGCAGAGATCCACTGGAATGTGAAAACCAACTTATATTGAAAAAGATGCAGAAATATACCTAATTTAAATAAGGTGCGAGCAAATTTACGATCATATTATCTCTTTTCGGGCGTCAACAAGTTAGAAGTAAAAGATTCAGTTTTACCATATAACAACATAGGACTGATTTGAAACATCTAAATGGATAATCACCTTCTACAAAGGTCCGCGAGGAGCAAGTATACATCCAGCAGAAAATTGTAGTGTCCGAAAGATAAGCAAATATCATTCACTAATAAAACAAAATCTGCAGGTAGATTGGTAAATCTGAAATGAGATACATGTGACGCACTTTTTATGCAGTTTCTTCATTCGGCGTTAGAAGCTCCTAACCAAGAAAAGCTGGTATCTTCAGATCCAAGAAACGGAATATACTCCGATCCTCTGACACGAACACTAAAGCAAGCTGCACAATAAGCAAGTTAATTTGAAGGAGATAGCAAAAATAAAATGGTACAGTTATTTCAACGCAAAGAGATGAAAACTGGTACATCACGTAAAAATGTAAAACTCCTAATGCACCGTAACTAAAAATTAAGTCCCTTTTGTTTCTTGTATTCGCCATTCACCAGAAGCAACTTTTAATCTAAGATGTAACTGAAAGGCTTACCGCCTTACCCTCTTATAAATATCTCCAGGATAGAAAAACGATAGAATAATCGAGCAATTTATGGCCACAAGTAAAAATCTGTAATGGCCTGAGATGCAGAGCTTGGGGCACATATTTAAGTAGTTATTACTTATTAGTGTATACATTTTCAGCTTTATAATAATTTACTTAAGTGGTTACTCCTGGAACCACTGCACATGCATTCTATTGAGTCTAGACCCAAAAAAAACAAAATCGAGAAAAAAATACCAATGTCTCTGTAAAAAATATCGTGATCATACCATTTTCAATTTTCATTACACTTTGCAGCATTGTGTCCATCTTCGATTTCATGTCCGAAGAGTCCTCCATTTTGGGGGCAATAAGCAACAGTTCTCTATAGATTTCACGCACAAACGTGCAGATTTTCTGAGCATATTCGAGTTCACCGTCTGATATTCTACCTATAGCCAGCCTCATCAGCTCCCCAGTCAAATCAGCAAGCTGAACAAGAAGAATCAATGACTTGTGCAAGAGATATATAGTAAAGAAAAACACATATCCAGTATTATATGAAACACATCTTTGAAAGTAACGTACATGTTGAAACTAATATAGCAGCAGTATTATAAGGCCAATTTTGAAAAAAATAATAAAATAAAATAAAAATAAGCCCACACAAGAAAATTACCCCCAAGAGGTAGTCAAGAACATTAATCTGCAATGGCTCAACGGATGGATCACTTAGTGTTTGCAACGAAGCATTGATCTCATCTAGATTCAAAAGAGCACCTGTCTTGCAAAAGTTACACAACGTAGCTGCTTCAACATATTCTTGAACCTATACATACACGCAGATACAAAATCGAGATTAAAAAAAAAAAAACCTCGTGCAGCCTTGATAAGGTAAATTGGCAGGATATGTTTACCCCGGGAGAGTAGGCTCGCCTTAGCTTCCAAAAGTCAGTCCCCTGGAGCTCTTTCACTAAACGAGAGATATATTGATCCATCACAGCAGCTAAATCTTTTTCTGCTTTTTCTAAAACTTCGTCTTTGTTGTGTTTGCTAATTCTATTATCAAGAAAAGATTAAAGAATTAGCCACTTCCTTTCAAAGTAGATTTTACTGCAACAAACAAGGCCAGAAAACAGAATATGTATGGACATAATAAACTACGAACTAGTTATGCTCAAGTCGCTTATAACGAGTTAACGACAATCACATGCTAATAGCCACAGGAAATAGTCCAAGGGGCTGTCAGTTTTTATTGGATTTTCCTTTGCAACCAACTTTGTATATATCGATGCAAACATTAGTAACACGTGATCTAAACAATGCAATAATTTGCTGAAGGGCAAAGGCATTACTGTAGAAGTGTCAGTTGGAAAGACGTTAATCAGTATTGCTTTATAAATATAGCATAGGAAAGAATATCGAGCACAGAACATTTATGCCAGACATGCAGAAGAACAAAAAAGTTATTTCGTCTTACCTATGCACCTGAAATATGACCTTTTTGCTATTCATAGTTATATCCCGGCTTGCCTTCACCACCCTTTCTCTCTTGTCGTTCTGCAGTGCATACAGAAGAGTAATCAAACATATCCAACAATTGACCATTAAACTTGTTATATACAAAACGAGGAATTAACAATTGCAGCAAATTCATGCATCGTTTCACGGGGCAAAATACAAGTTGATGCATGACTTATACGATGAATAAGAACTTCTTAGTTTCGAGAATAATTCATTAGTATACGAAAGCATCGTCATTTTCATGCATTGAACCTCAACTGCAATTGCAAAATGGTCAAATGGTCTTGTGTAATGTAGTATGCCTTCCATGAGCTAGTGGAAAGGCTACGGCATAATATTATTCATTAAACTATATTCGATTCTTCCAATCGATTTATCAAATTTAAATAGGCTGAAAGTGGAACACTGAGTTTTCTCGAAAGTGCAGCAATGTACTTGTACAAATTGGGATTAACTAGCAAACATGTTTATGCAAACCAAACAAAGATTTGAACCGATGAAGTACATTAAAAAATCACGATTTTCGCAAAAAATCGGTGAGAGCTCTTCATTAACCAACATTAATCCAATAATTAAAAAAAGAAGCCATAGACAAATTGATAGTTTTTTTCCGCTAAAAATTGAAGAAAAATCCCCTTCCCACTGAAATATTTTCAAATCGTAACAAAAGGCCAGTCGCGCAAATAAAAATATGTGTAAAATAAATTTGAGGAAAAAGCACCAGATCGTTGAGGTAAGTAGCATATTTGGAGAAGGCGTGCTTCATGGGATTTGGGTCGGAATCAGCGGCACTGGTGGTTAAACTTCGGTGCTTCTTGGCAGCGGCACCCAGCGGAGTGGTCTCTGCAACTGTTCGATAAAATGCTTCAAAGAATCAGACTGTTGGTTTCCAGAATGATTACCGTACGTACGTACGTACGTATGTATATATATGAATGTTATCTATGTATGTGAGATGACAAGATTGAGTGGTGTAATTGATAGAAGACGACTTACGATGGCGGAAGCGTTGGGGTTTAGCAGCCATTACAGAGAGCTTTTGGATTGCCGACGAATTGAACATCTGTCGCTCGCTCGATTCGACTATTACAGGTGGCGCGTGGCGGTAGTCTTTAAATGATTATTCTGTACATTAGCTTTACATAATTTTTATGTAAATATATTAATATCCCAGTTGCTGTGGTGTAGTGGTTATCACGTCAGTCTTACACACTGAAGGTCTCCAGTTCGATCCTGGGCAGCAACATCACTTTTAATTTTTTTTATTTTGTTATTTATTGTATTACAGTCAAATAATGACATCAGTATAAAATTCATATCATGTTGCTGTGGTGTAGTGGTTATCACGTCAGTCTTACACACTGAAGGTCTCCAGTTCGATCCTGGGCAGCAACAATTCATTATATATATTCTTTTTTTAATTTCTCTCTTCTTCAATTTCATTTACTTTTTTGTTCTTGCATTTTTTTTTCTTTCTTTTTTCTGTTTATTCTCATTCTCAATTCGGGGTAAAAAAAGGAGCAAGAAAAGTCCCAAAAAAACAGCAATCAGCATCAAATTTACTTTTGTTTTTCTCAATTAAAATAATGGTAACACTAGTGGTGGCAACCACCGCTGATCCGGCGTCGATCAACCCCGCGAAAGCACTCCTATCGATGCCCGGATGGCAGCCGGGTCCCACCATCGAAGGTGGCATCAGAAGCTTCAAAAATGGCGACTCCCTCCGTCTACTGGAACAGGACAATTCCATAATTGAAGAAGACGATCTCGACTTGCGATGGGAGGCAGCCACCGGAGAATCGGTGGCCGAGCTCATTTTTCTTTCTCGACACGTCGCCGTTTCCACCCGCCCCGCCCTCACTATCCACCCTATTGGTAAAATCCCAATTTTACCCTTCTATACAATGTGTGTGTATTTGCGTGTGTGTTGTTTATACTCGTACACATAGTTAAACCTCTATAAATTAATATAGTCGGGAGTAGGGAAATTCTATTAATTTAGCTAATTATTAAATTATCGAGTTAAAAATTTAACACGTTTTCACCAGAGTGGGGATCGAGAGAAACTATTATTTAATGGAGGTTATTAATTTATCGAGTTTCTGCTGTATATTTATACACATCAATGTTGTTAATATATGTGCTCTTTAATCGAATAGGGAAGAACAACCCTTCGTATTTTTCGTTGTTGGTTTTGCTAATCGATAATTATCAGTGCAGTAACTATCAATTAGCTCAATTTTGCTTTAGAATCGATTGAACTGATGTTCGAACATGATCGTAAAACAGGGGTCCCGCATTTGAAGGATGGAGATGTACTACCACAAGGGGGGAAACCCGGATGGGCGGCGCCACCTTGTCCACGTATAGGACCGTGGCTTATGCTGTTGAACAAAATTGCTCGATCCAACAATTTAGTGCCTGAATTTGAGGTTGTCTATTGTCGTTTTTTTAGCTCGATTGTGAAAGTGTTGTGAAATAGTGAAATTATATGTAGATTGATGTTCTTTTTTTTATTTTTTTCGGTTTTGTTGGATGCAGATAACGTTGGAGGCTACTCACCATGGACCAATAACAACAAAGCCAACGATGTTTATCGAGATAGGTACATTAATTAATTTCTTCCCGGAAAAAGAAAATGCTTACCCTTTTCGTAATTCTCCATTTCGTAAAATTGTGTTACCTGATGTTTGTGGCTGTTTGTTAACTCGACTTATCGACTTTCTATAATTGATTTATTCTTAATGTTATATAGGAAGCACAGAGGAATTCTGGGGGAGAGAGGATGCAGCCCGTGTTATTGCTCTAGTTGCGTACATGCTAAAGCCATTTTTTTTCCCTTACTTATATTCTTGAATTAGTTTGCAAAAAAATAATATAATCAAAAACTTCATTGAAAAGGTTATATAGCAAGAAGAATTCCTTGTCGATTCTGTTTACATGTTTAATACATAATTACTAGTGTATATATCACCACTTATATATGAAAATGAACGGAAGAGCGATAGGAAAAGGAAAAAAAAAACATATATATTTGTACATGTAATGATGCATGTTTGGAAATACGGTAATTCTAACAATTATCTGACAATGGTTCTTGCTGTTGAAGTTAGTTTGGGAAGGCCTTGGTCTTGGAGAAAGTCCTGCTGTTGGAATTTGGAACAGGTTTGCTCACTGCTCGTTTTTCTTTTTTAATGCATCGTTTCTCAATATCTCGCTCGAGTATTATTGATTTGATGCCCACACATTTTTGTTCTCGTATATTTTTTTGATTTTCAATCCCAGTATGACCGAAAGGAAGAAAGTGCTATTCGGTATAGGAGGCGGGCATTACGTACCGCGGCACATGGACGTAGTTCTGTAAGTCAATTGTTTTTTCAATTATAGCATCATATTTCGTTGATTCTAATTGTTAAATCTGCATTTCCATTTTAAAAAAAATTGAAAATACGACAGAAAAGATGGAATTTGGGTGGGGCATCTCCTCTCGGGATATTCTCTACCAATGGAAGATCCTGGACAATCGAAAGGGAAAATAAGTTTCGATAAAATTGGTGGAACATGGAAAGAAGCCATCAAAATTGCATTCGATGCTACTAAAGCAGCTTTTCCAACGGTGAAATTATTGCGCATCTTGATCATAAGTAAGTTTATCTCGTATATAATTTCTTCTACTTTTTTATTTTATTTTTTCTTATTCATGCAACGCTCGTTATTGGATGCAGGAGTTTTAAGAGCTGGCAAAAGAATGCTATTATAGATTTTCTCGGCAGTCAGAGCATAAAGATCGGCAAACCAGCGGATTTCTGCTGATATTTGTATCAGGTTTTTGCCCGATTATATTTGATTCGCGTGTCGATTTATTTTGCTTATTCATTTCCAATGAACTATACATATTGGTTTCGCTAGATTCTATATTATTGGATCCATTATTTGGATCTTGATTAATGAAACAGTGCAATTAAACCATGTATATTTTGAAAGATTGTACGTAGTTTATTATAGACTTGTTATTCAGGGATCTACAGCTGGGAATTGGAACGGAATTTCCAATTTATGCCGACTCCGATCTAAAATTTACTGATTTTGGAGCAAGTTATTTTATTCTAATTTTCGAATTTCTAATTTCCGATTTTTCCATTTTCTTTTTTTCTTTTTTTGGGGGAATAAAGTCAGAATTAGTTTTCACTTCCAAAAAAAATGGAATTTTTCAGAAAGTACTCATTTCGACCCGATCAGTCCGATTTCCACCCGTAGATGTATTGTTGTTGCTTTCAAAAGTATATAATACAAAATTAAACTTGTATTAAGATTGAGAATCCAGCTAAGTATTTCTTGCAGGAATTAGAATGAATTTTTTGAATCTTGGCGATTTCGGTCTGAAAGTGATTTTTTTTTTTTTTATTGAAATTGAAATATTTTTTTGAATATTAAGATTGAGAATCCAGCTAAGTATTTCTTGCAGGAATTAGAATGAATTTTTTGAATCTTGGCGATTTCGGTCTGAAAGTGATTTTTTTTTTTTTATTGAAATTGAAATATTTTTTTGAATATTAAGATTGAGAATCCAGCTAAGTATTTCTTGCAGGAATTAGAATGAATTTTTTGAATCTTGGCGATTTCGGTCTGAAAGTGATTTTTGGGTCATCCGATTTTCATCTATAATTAAAGTGGTGTTTGCAAAAGCTTATGTAAAAATAAAAGTTAGTGATTGCAATTTAAGTTGGTTATAAGTACTTATTTCTAGAATTTGGCGGTGTTTGCATATAATCTGGAAAATCAACTTAAATTGAAAACACAGGATCAAAGATACTTTTAAAATTACAATTTAAAACAACTTATGTCAAGATAAGCATCGAAAGCAAAAATTGATTTTACATACATCTTAAAACAGATTATAAGCAAGCAAAAGATCATAATCTATTTTAAAAGTTTTTTGCAAACACAAGGTATAATAAGCCAAGTCAGAAGGATAAAGTATTTAAATTGGCATGTTCTATAATTTATACATTATTTATTGTTTATCTAAATTCTAAACAATCAAAAAAGTTGAGTGGATTATCAAACTTGTAGCTGGAGCCAGAGAAATCACACAAATTCCCTCCCCTGCATGCATTATTGCATACTACTTCCAATAAAATGTATATATAATATGTATGTATTTAACATAAATACATACAAATTAGTGCAATCATAAGTTGACAGAATATAGTTATAAGTACAGCCAACTTGGGTGCTACCGTTGAATACAATGTGAGTTGCCATTATAAATTTCATTAAATCTCAACAAAAAAAAAGAGAGAGAATAAATTACAACCAACCATTTAGAATTTTTAGTTATTAAAATAAAAATAAGATTTTTTTAATTATTAAAATAAAGTCAAAATCTACATTCGAGATGTTAGTATTTCTAACGCTCCGGTAATTTTAAAGGAAGTATTTGTAATTATAAATACTACAGTGACCTCACAATTATTATGACATGCTTCACGAGGTTGATTGTAATTTACCCTAAAAACTAATAGAGATGACCACTGTATACAGAATTAGATACACCAAATCATATGCAAGTGTATTATTAATAATCCATCATATGAGGTTGTCATCCATTTAATCAGATAATAATATTAAATCCAGATAGATTATCTCACTACGTACAAGCTGTATTATAGTATTCTTTATTGAATTAGGTCAACCTTTAGTTTTCTCATTTTACATATTTGACTTACAAATTTTCAGATATTTCGAATTTGGAATCATAAATAATCTGAAATTCCGATTTTCAGTCCGAATTATTTAAAAAAAAAATTAAGAGTTCCATTTTGGTTTTTTTTTTTTTTTTTTCACAAACTGCATTTATGAAACGCAATATGCCAGTAGTTTTGGTTATTCACCCTATAAAGGCATAAATTTTAGGATAAATTGCAACCGTCCCCCTGTGGTAAGGTCTATTTACAAGACAACCCTGATGTTTCCATACTTTCATCCACCTTCAGCAATTTATAGATATCTTACATTAACAACCTTTGTAGGAGGTGGATGTAAGGAATTTACAAATTACAGGGGTTGGATGTAATTTCTAAAAAATAAGGGGATTTTTTTGTAAATTAACTTTACTTCAAGGTGGTAATTGTAATTTACCCTAAATTTTATATGAAATATATACATTATTATTCCTACAAAGTGTATGTACTCATCATGTGGCATTGAATAATTGAATAGCTTTTAATAAGTGAAAGTTCAGGGTATAGTGAAGCATGTGCCACTCATTTATAACTGAGTAACAATGAATGCAAATAATACCCAACTTATTAGTTCAATTAATATTTAACACTCAAATATCAAAGATTTTGATAAGAATTAAAGTAACAACATAGATGATGAATATTGTCAATAGTATTTTTTAGCTTCTATCTAGCTCACCAAACTAATTCTTAAAAATATTTTTTTGTGATTTGTCCCGTAACCAATACTTAGCGATTGGAGCATGTGGGCTCGTGTCAATTGAGCCAAGTTCCCATTCCCTCGTCAACAGTCGTTATGTCGAGTTTGTTACAAATGATTAGCCTAGTGGGGTTTATGTCTCTCGTATGATTTACAAGTTAATATACGAGAGTATAAGTTTACTCAATGCACATATATAGTTGGTTGCACCTTCCTTCATTACTAAAACAAAATATTACATAATTTTATTCTTTTAATTTTTCTATAAACATTTTTATTTGACACTTTTATATATCATTCCAGTGTTTTTATAAATTGGTTATACTCAAAGTAAAAATAAAAAAAAAATAAAAAATAAAAAAAAAACACTGCCCTTTTTTTTTTCTTTTTTTTCCAAAATATATCTTCAAAATAGAGCCAAACATAATATTCTGGTTTGAATGGGGATAAGAGCACACAGTAGTGCTGCATCAAACGGGTGCACCAGATCACGGCACACGTGGGGGACCATTGGGCCAATCGATCTTCTGCTAAAAAAACTCAGTGGGCCCCACAAGAGCTCACTCTGCAGGCTGTGATTCTGTGAAACACAGTTCCACTGTTACAGATGGTACAAAGCTCAGGGTCGGAAGAGGAATTTTAGTATTTAGTAGTATTATTATATTATAATATAATTTTGGGTAAATTACACTTACAACGCTGTAGTATGCTAAAATAATTTTAAGGTCCATGTGATATCGATAATTACACTCACCCTTGAAACATAGTTAGAAATTCTTATGGGATAATGCATTGGATACGTTATTCCGATAGAGTTCTAACGGACAATTAGTTTAGGAAGCGATGGAGACAACAAAGAGCTATGGGTGATTTAAGAAATGTTGGGGGAGCCATGTCACCCCCTAACTCTATGTTGTCTCCACCACTAGCTAAAAGTAATAGTCTGTTACAATTTTATCGGAATAACGTATCCAATGCATTATCTCATTAGGATTTCTAACTAAATTTCAGGGGGTGAGTGTAATTATCGATACAATAGGGACCTTAAAGTTATTTAAGCATAACTCAGGGGTGTCTGTGTAATTTACCCTATTTTTATTTGTAAATTACAACCATGTAACTCAAATATATCTAAATTACAAATACCCCTCTTGTTTGCAAAAATTACAATTACTATCTATATGGTGAGGGTCCTGTTGTGCTCTCGTAAATATACGTAATTTGCCCCGTCTACTCTCCTTAGTTCGACCCACAATGAATTGTCTGGTGGATTATGGGAACTCTTATAAACCGAAGCAGCAAAATCCTACATGAAAACACAAAGTGAATCTAGGTCAAATTTCACCATTATCTATAGATACAAATTAAAATGTATGTTTTACATACCTTTACACATGTCTCTCTCTTTTTTTCTTTGTCTTGAACTGTTTTCTCTAACTAACTTGAGTGTCAGAGTGTCCGCACGAAGCTCAAGCTCCAAGATATCTTGTGAACAAAGTAATTTTTCGACGATCAAGGGTCAGAAAAAGTGTTCGAGAAGAGCGGATTTTGATGAGCCTTCAACCCGACCTCCATCAAACGGCGCCCATTACGATGTTAAGACTAGCAATATCTTTTGGGTTCTATGAATATCCGTTCAAGTATTTACATTTTACTCTTATAATTGTTAGGGGTGTAATTGTAAGATTTTTAGTTCATTAAAGGGTCATTTGTAACATTAGTAAAAACTAGATGAACACAAATTCAATACTTCCTCGGTGCAATAAATTGAAAATCTGAAATTAATTTAAACTGGTTATATTTTCTTCCCAATAACTCATACTACAAGGTGTCAATTCTGAATTATTGATGTCTACACTACATCAAAAGTAGCACTGAATTGAATTGACCCTCCAATTTTCGTCTGTCACAAGTGCAAATTTTAAATTTCTCTACATTTTTTTTCAAGCAATGCCAGCAAATTAAATGGGATTGAAATGCTATTTATTGGGCAGAAAATGACTTATTGACTATTATTATATGGAATTTCATTTTCATGCAATTAAATATTACGAGTCATTAATTGGTGAAAAACGGGGCAACAAAAATTGGACTCATTATTTATTATATGAATGTGGTCATAAAGACATATACATATATATAATTGTTAGATATCGAATTTTCGGGATAAATCACCAATTAATAGTCAATTTACTTGATTATTAATTCGGATCTCAAATCTAATTCCATAACATATACGGGCTTTATAAATGGATTAATTCTTAAATGGGTAATAAATTCTTAAATGACAGATATCCAAGTCCACTGGCCCATGTTACAAGTCAAAACACTAGCTCGTGCTTATAGAAAGACACATTCGATGCATATAAAAGATAGACTCACGCATACACAAATCGAACTCTCAAGCTCAAGTTTCGAGCCTTTGCCGCAAATTCATCCACTTTCGTTTCATTAATAAATTTATTTGTTCTCATTTTTCCTGTCTCGTATTTATTTATATATTATAAATTCAAACATTTGCGGTTTACAATAAATATAATAAAAATCACTCTTTATAGTGATGCAACATAGAAAATTAAATATTTCCAATTATCATAAAATCTAGTTTAACAAGTCAACTGATTTGTTCAAAATTTTGTAGTGGTCCCTAAAAATCGAAATTACTCAAATAAATATAAAAATAAAAATAAAAACATATAAAGGGACAAAAAAATAAAATAAATGTGAATAAAGGTAAGTACAAAGTCCACCTGAATGTATAATTTGTTTGTCATGAAATAGTTTTTTGTCAGAGTCCAAACAAACTCCCACCAACTCTACACAACATTTTGTGGACTTTTTACTTAGGCTTAATTTTTTATAAATACCACAATTACCCCAAAATTTATTTATTGTCACACAAAAAAAAATGTATTTGCTAATGCATAAATATAATGTATTTTTTGTGCATGAATATATAAAATATTGTGCTACAATAAACCCAAAACTACCTTTTTGACCTCCAATTGTCACCCCTCCAAAGGAAAAAAAAAATAGAAATATAAATAAATTTAATTTTCTTTTGGCTTTTATTAATATTTTAATATTACAAAATAAGTGATTCCATTGTCAGACTTTTCCCCACAAACCCAATAAACAATTTACCCAATTATTCTACTTTCTATCAATCTTGGGATCTACATTGTATAACTAATCACAGTTCCAAAAAAGCAGTCCAAAACGCCACCGTTTTGGACACAAGGTAAAAAAAGAAAAACATTTTCCTTTTTTTTTTTCTGAAAAAATGTTGAGAGAAATAATTAATGCATTCCGAACCGTCTCCGCCTCTCCATTTATAATCACCACACCCACATTTACGTACACACAAACTGTATGTATATGTAGAGAGAGAAAGGAAGAAGTTGACTATATAGGTTTTTTTTTGTTTTTTTTAGAGTGAGAGAGTGTTTTTTTTTAAAGCAGGTGAAGATAACGTACAACGCATAGCTACAAAAACTGCTCCCTCTTTCTTTCTCTCTCTACGAATCTCTCTCTCTCTCTCTCTCTTCTGGCAGAGGATGTGTATTTGTCTGTATCTATAGGTCTATTATCCGTATATTTGTTGTCTGAATGTGTAAAATCAAGTCAATCGCCGCTATTGATTGATGTGTCGTTTAGCCTGCTGAGATTTCGTTCCCAATTTTTCTTAATTTTTTTTTTAATTTTTTGTTTGTTCTCTCTCTCTCTATCTCTCTCTCTCTCTCTCTCTCAACGGAGCTGAAGCAGAGAACTGAGGTTGTTTCTCTCTCTAGAAAAAGGTATTTACAGATGTATATGCGTATAGTAGCCGTATGCAATTTTGTAGAAAATTAGTGCGTGAAGTATTTCAATTAGATCTTAGGCTGGTCATTTGTTCTTTCGATTTTTCCTCAATTAATTTCAGCTTTCCCCTTTTCTGATTTTTAAATAATTGAAGATCGTCTTTCTCAAATGGTGCAGTGAAAAGGGGAAATTTGCAGCTCGTTGATCCAATCCAACAGGCATAAAAGGTATTTAACTTCCTTTTTTTTTTAATTTATTAATTTTGTTTAGGAGCAGATAAAATCAAACATTTAATCGTATTATATTTTGAATCAAGTTTATTTAGAGGTTGAAAGTGTGTTAATTACAACGATAGGATTAGATCTGAAAGGTGGGAGAGTGTGGAATGATGTAGTGGGCAGAGTGTTTTGACTTTGGAGCAAGAAATCCATAGGTTAAAAAAAAAAGTGATTATACTTTTAACTGCTAAAGGCTTGTTTGGGATGTTTGAATGGGTTGTGGCTTTTATCTTGTCCTCGTTCTTTTTCTTTAGACAAATTGAGAAAATTCCGAAGATTAATTTACTCATTATGCCCAAACAAAGAAAAAGGCTGTTTTGTGGTGTGAAAAACACTAGCGAATATAGGTCTTTAAGTTGATCTTCTACTTACGAAAAAGTAATGTGATCCGTTTCGAGGATTTTGTTTTCCCGATCTTCGATTTTTTATTCCAAAATGGCTCGAATGTTAATGGAGAGTAATGGAGTGAGCTGGAAGAGCAATCGCGAGCTAGAAAGCATTTATTGTTTGTGAAATCTGCAATTAATTGTTCTTGATTTGTTGAATTGGGCCGAGATCTTTGCTTTTCGTGCAGATTTTGCCAGCAAATACCTACTTGTTTTAGATAATGATTTTACTTAGTTTTTCTAATCATGCACTTTACAAACATGTAAGCATTATCAGTGGCATGTGAGGTCTAGGATCGTGGTTTTTATGAACTGGATCCAGCTCAATAATTTCTTTTTAATGAGAATAAAGATGGTTCATTATTTCATTCCAATGTTTTCATGTTTGGCAGATCTGTTCTTTTTCATTTGTATGGAATATAATTCTTCGGTTGTTCCTTATCGTATTTTTTCGGGATATCTTTTTCTTCGTCCAGTATCTCTGTTACAAACATTTGAAGTAGTGGTGGTTTGTTTGTGTAGACTTAACTTCTTTCATGTTATTTAGTTCATCTCAAGCTCGTGTATTACGATTCGAGTGCAGTGTTTTGTAATTATTAACTTGTTTCTTTCTTGTTCTGATAGGCCACTTGGTTTAAATTTATACCTGCCTAGTGGATGTTCGATTCACAACTATCCCAAGTGAAGCATGAAAACTGGTAATTCCGTCTTTTGGTTGTGTTAAATGCTATTGGTGCTCGCCTGATTGTCTTTGCTCCGTCTTCATTCATTCGACAAACCTTAGTTGTAACTGATAGTACCATGGTTGCGTTGATTGATTAACTAAAATAATTTGAAGCTTTACAAACTTTTCCATGCAATTAAGTTGTTAAATGCGCTCTGAAACCTTTTGAATGCAATGGCAGTGTATTTGATCCTGGTGAACGAAACATGACTATGAAGGAAAATCAGAATGCAACGTTTTATGATTCTAACGGGTTTGTGAAAGAGATTGATCCTCCGACCTTCGGAAGTAAAGAAATATACGAGTTAAATGATTCGAAAATGGATGCCAATCTTCTAGAGACAAAAGATAGAGATGAGTGTTGGCACCATAAAGTTATGGACGACATCTCCGAGGATAGTGAAAGTGGAACCGTAGATTCTCCAAAAAAGGAAGTTGAAGATGTACTCTTGATCGATCATCTAAGCGGCTCTGATAAGGATTTGGATTCATTATCTTCCAACACGTGTGATAAAGACAAAGAGAGACAAAATCTGGGGCATGAAAATATGCCTTGTAATGGAAATGAATCACAAGATTCTAGTCCTCCATGTAATAGTGCTTCGGGTTTGTCTCAAACAACGGATGCAAATTTGTTTACCGATAAAAATGTGTTGGAATGTGGAATGCCAGAGTTCGAGGTTTTCTGCAAGGAGATTGATTATCAAATTGTGAAGGATATATGTGTTGATGAAGGGAGGCCTGATAATAAGGACAAAATTACCGAAAGTTGTAAGGATGATAAATCCGACGGGTTATTTCACCAGCCTACTAACAGCAATCACTCCGAGATTACTATTACTGAAGCTAATCAATGTGGGACCAAAGAAGAAAACGATGGCAAATCTCCCTCAGACACCTCATTTGATGAGGATACTGCTAAGAAGGATTGCGATCCAGCAAAATCGGTGCAGACAAGTGAAATTACGGATAATCAAGAAGAGGACTCTCTTGTGGGTATAAAACCTCCGGTTCAAGAACTTGTGACTCGAAATTCTCTCAGATCGTTTCTCTACCCTTTAGGTGACGAAGGGGGAGTAGTTACACAACCGCCCGATCAGGTTTTTTGTCACTATTTATATGTGCTTTCTACACCATTTGTCGTATAGTATATAGGGATGCTTTTCTTGATTCTTGAAGCTAATATAGATTGCAATTTTGTGCTCGACAGATTCTTAACGAAAAACCAGCTTCTCGTAGTTCTGCTGCCACGTCATCATCAGCAGAAGCGGAAGGGGTGGAGGAAGATGTTGAAGCTAGTAGCAGCGTGTTGTACAACAGTGAAGTAGAAAGTGGAACCATTACTTTCAATTTCGACTCCACCGTAACTGAAAATATGAAGCCACAAGATTCTGTCGACAGTTCTTCTGTAACCAGCAATAATATCGACTGTGTTGGCAGCAGCAAAGATCGGGAAGATGAAAACGAAAAAAATTCCGAACAAAACGAAGGCAGTTCTGCTATTATTTCAAGACAAATGAAATATGAAGAGGGAGAGACGAGTTTCGCTGCAGCAAGCCTTGTTACGTATTCTGGGCCAATAGCGTATTCCGGGAGTTTGTCGCTAAGATCCGATGGCAGTGCAGCAAGTGGAAGATCTTTTGCTTTCCCTATGTAATAAAACTTCGTTTCATCCTAGCCCTTTTTGTTTCCCAATTTAAATAACTCGTCCCTTATTTATTGTTTTTATTTTTTTTTGTTTTTCGGTTTTGCAGATTACAATCGGAATGGAATAGCAGCCCGGTGAGAATGGCGAAAGCGGACAGGAGACATTTTCGAAAGCACAAGGGGTGGAGATCAGGGCTTCTTTGCTGTAGATTCTGATGAATGCTTTATTGTTATGGAGTAGGTTATATTTTATTATTATAGTGAAAGTATTTTGTAAGTATACGTGTCTATATTCTTACAACCTGCTTCAGATGCAATATGGAACAAGTGCAGTGTGTCTGAACTTTCGATTTATTCCTTAATTCATTGATTGATGATAAATCTATTGGTTTTTGTTTTTACCCAATTGAGCATTATTATTTCTTTTATGCCATTTGGGCTTTTCGAAAACGAAGGCCCAATATTTTATACACCTAATTTGGGCTTCTACGAATTTATTAATTTTAATACCTTGTCTGTTTGAATTTCTGAAATTTGAATTTAAATCAATGTTTGTAAGATTCAATCTCAACAAATCTCTCATTGAAACTATTTGAAATGCACTTAAGTTTAATATTCGACTCGTGTGACGGGTCGGTGAACAATTGATCATTAACCGACCTATGAATCAAACTATGTAATACGGGTCGATTCAGTTTTAGGTGGTTAAACTGTAAATTAGTAAAAAACGACGAGTGTTACTTGACATCGAAAAAAGAGAGGTGTATTTTGTCAACAAACCTAGGGGCAAATTGGTCCTAACAAGGTATAACAAGGTGACAAAAGAAAATAATAAAATGAACCCAAATTGTGTGAAGGTTCCTAAAAAGTGAAGTATAAAATAAGGGTTTCTGTGTACTTAGTTTCGAAACTCTGAATATTGTGCTTTGTGTATGTTCTTGAATATCTTTCTTGTCTGTGTGCTTTACTTACTTAATTACCCCTCTTTTTATTTCTCTGCATTTGCATTGTGGTCCTTATAATATTCCATTTCTTGATCTATATATACATATATTATATCCCAAGTTTCAGAGAGCAAACAAGCAAAAAATACATATATAATTTTCTTGTGCAAAAATCCAATCTTGCTATAGCTATGGAATTGTTAACCCTAATGGCTGCACTTTTCGTCGCTACCTCGTTTCTGTTTGCACCCTGTGCTTCCGATCAACCCAATCTCCAAAAATCCCTTCATCTAAAAGGTAATTAACTAATGAACAATATGTTGTGTGCATTTTTCATGTGTGTGTATAAATATATATAATGTATATATATGTTGAGTTTGTGTTTATATATAGTAGTATTAATTATCATATGAGAATTTTAATTCTTGTGGCAAATTATGTATATGCAGTTCATGATCATGCCAAGTTTACTAATCTACCTTCACTGCCAAGGAAGCTCAAACTCAATGAAGAGGAAACTGTACGTATTTTTTATATGTATCTTTCTTTCTATATATATATATATATATATAACATCCTCCATTTCTCGAATTTTTGCTGCGGCCGACATAATTAGTTTTTTTCTCACCTGATATTCGGACTTTGGAAGTGTGTATATATATATATCATATATGTGCTGATTATTGCAGGTGAAGAATTTATACACTGCCAAAGATTCGATGTCGTCGCACAAGAAATTCATAGACGACCCCTCATCAGGTTATATATACAGAATATTCTTTAGCATTGTCATACACTTTTCATTTTACATTATCATAACTTCACGAATGGATACATGATATATATGATCATCATATATTATATTATTCGAAGCCTAAGCGAAAACTATGATCAAGAATCCATAAGGTTATATATACAAGCAGGAAAATCCAAACAAGAAATATAATCCATTAATTAATATAATATTCCATGGAGTTGCATTAGGTTAATTCTTGGATTATCTTAATTAATATATATTATTTTTTCTCTGACACTAAGTTTTATGTGTGGGCATGTTCAGTTACCAAACAACACGAATACGAAGAAAATACGATTGTCGCAGCAGAAAAAGGGAGATCGAGAGAACGGGTCGAAGAAGAAAGCTCCAACAAATCGGAATATTTTACTATGGATTATAATTGGGTCCGAAAGCGACGCCCTATACACAACAAGCATGTCCCATTTCTCCCTTAATACTTGGGGGGTTTGTGTTAACGAAATTTTGCATGTAACGTAACGAAACAAATTAAACCAAACTTTTTTCGTAGTTTTCCTTTTGTTTTTTTTTTTTTTTGTTGTTTTCATAAGTATAGTTTGTTTTTCAGCTAATTAATTAGGGAAGGAAATGAGGAATGTGTCTTCAAATGTACCTTTTTCTGTAACAGTTATCCAGCAAAATACCCTATATTCTGCTGTGATGATCAAGGAATTATTTTTCACTTTGTTAAATTACATGCCCAATTTTTTTTTAATTTTTTTCTTCTTTAAGTTATTACTATTTAATTATTATTATTTTATTGATGCAATCAAAGGGTATCTCAAACCCAAGTGTGAAAAGAATCTGTCCACAACTCGAGTTAAAAAAAAAAAAAATTGGTGGTCACGTTTGCATGTGGTTAATGCACTATAATGCTAAGCATTGCTAATTTTGAATATATCATAAACTATTTTTTTAGGGCAAAATGCAAATTACTTCAAAATTCAAAATATTTGATGTGGCATTGAACCAACGTTTGTTCATGTGAGGAGTAGGGCCAAATGATTTATTCATTTCGGGAATCGGCCGAATTCCCAATCCATTGGAGGCGGCACAATTTTGGTGTCAGTTCAATCACTTATGGACAATTTTATCTTGATCGCACATCTTGGGTAGTCAATCATGTCCGTCCATCTCATCTATTTTTCTATTAATTAGAGTCTAGAGAGAGAGAGAGAGAGAGAGAGTGAGGCGTTAACACACATAGTAGTTATTTTCCTCTGCTTAAAGTAGTCATTCTTCTATAATTGTGTCCTGAGCTGGTGAGTCAGACCTGGGTGATTGGGGGTGATTCAGTCAGTATCTGAGTTGAGTGAGGCGAGTTGAGTCTTAAGCTGAGTGCTTGACACCTATCAGTAATAGTTAATTCGATTTTCTTGATATTGTAAGAAGTTATGCAATATTCAATCAAGTACAACCCAACAATTCATAAATAGAAAAGAAAATTACATATATAGATGGTGTGCTGATCGATCATCTAGATTTCTGTAAAATAGATATATGCATGTATACATATATATTCATTCCACTGACAATAAGAAAAAAAACCTAGTTAACAATAATTAATTCCAACGTTAGAGATTAATTTAGAATATTTGGAAATAAGTGGGGTGGTAGTAGAGTAGTTCAAAGTGTCCGTACAATTGGGGGATGCAAATTGCAATGTATCACTTTGGTAGTGCTGCTGCCACATCGACCCTCGGGTCAACATTTTGAACACTGCAATTTATTTCATGCCTACCAAAGACATTGCCCCCCCCCCCCAATCTAATTTTCTATACTAATATCCTGTGCAACACCGATACAGAAACGGTGATACATAGAAATAGAAAAACCGCATATTCCAAGAATGAGGATGCGGGTGTTTGGGGGAAATGTGTAAATACTAAAGTTGTAGGGGTATATTTATAAATATACTAACATATATAAGTTGTTATTTATATATAAATTCTTTTTATATACTTTTATACAAGCATATTTTAAATAAATTTTACTGTCACTTATGAATTTGCAGTTGATCACTAAAAATCATATAAATAATTAGGGAAACAACAAAAATATTTGAAAATTTAAAATTCAGACATGTTTCTAACTTTTGTAAAATTACAAAATGACACATAAAGGTGTCCGACAAGTGTCTAGCACGAAACGTGTCCGAAATGCAAAAATGTTAAGACGTTGAAGTGTCCGTGCTAATATAAACATCAATACCTCTAACTCAAACACAGTAGAAATTCAAGCAAGCTGATCAAAGAGAAATGAAATAACATCAATTTATAAGTAAATTATATTTACATATAATTAAATTAAAATTATTCTTGAAATAAATCTTGATAATCAAATTGGGCCTGAAATTCAACCCAAAAGTCAAACTCACAAACTTTTCTAAGTGGGCTTTAAATCATCTGTGACTTATTTTGAGTACCCGCTCCGTACACTCACAACAGTCTAAAAACATTCCGACCATTTCCCACCACCACCGCCGGTCCACCGCCGTCGTCATGGCGGCCGGACTCCTCCTCTGGAGGGCGTCAACCAAAAAACCCCTCGCATTCATCACTTCCCACTTATTCCCCAAACTGCCCTCCCCCGCGCTCTTCTCCACCCTCTGCAGAAAAACCAAACACCTCCACTCTACCCCGACGACAACCCCCCACCTTCCTCCGCCAGCGGCCAAGAAGGTTCCTTTCACGGCAACCGCTCACGGCGCCACGTGGCAAGACCCGTACCGTTGGATGTCCGACGTCACCGACCCGGATTTCATCAGCTACGTCGATGCAGAAAACTCGTACGCCGATGCATTTATGCGAGACACCGGAGAATTGCAGAGGATCCTTTACTCTGAGATGGTTTCCAAAATGCCCTCCGACGTAACCACCCCTCCCGAACGTTGGGGCCCCTGGTTCGTAATTTCTGATTTGAATTTTACATAATTTTATGTGCTTGCTGTGTTTCGATTTGGGTAGAAACGATCTTCTGTAATTGTGCATGTTCGACATGGCTTTTAATTGAGCCGGAATTTTCAATCTATCGTTGAATTGTTGGAAGGGACAAATTGACAAACACCTTGTAGTATATGCCGATGACATATGTAGAATGCAGCTTTCTTTTATGGGGAAATTATGAAAACTCTCCTAAACTTGGGCTAAATAACGAAAAACAGCCCCATCTATCCGTAATGACTAAAATCCCCCTTTGATTAACTGATCGAGTTTTTTAACAGAAAATAAATGTGTATGGTCTATTTATACCTTCGGTTAAATAGGTGAGGAATAAAAGAAAATATCTGAAATTGTGTAAAGTCTATTCCTTGAAATAAAAAAAAAATCCGTGAAAAGTCACACTGGAAGGGGTTGGTGTAAGACGGAAACAAACCTCAGGGGGTTTTTGGTAATTAGAAATAGATGGGGGTGTTTTTCGTTATTTACCCTAAGTTCAGAGGAGTTTTCGTAATTTAGCCTTATTTTAAATGGAAGGACTTATAGAGTGATAATGCGGTTTATTGTTCGTTGACATATTGCAATTAATAGGTTGTATTACCAATGCATCCCGGAGGGGAAGGAATATCCTATTCTATGCAGAAAATCTGCCGTCGAAAACAAAAACTGGTTAAGCACCGTTTTCGCCTCTTTCAAAGGAGGATTCGGCGCGGAGCAAGTTTTGCTCAACTGGAATGAAATTGCAGAAAAAAACGGCAAGTTTTGTTACATTACATACAGAGGTTTCTTTGAATAAATAATGCACTAAACAATTGCCGAATATATACATTTTTATATAGGATATGTACACGTCGGTACATGCAGAGTGTCGCCGGACCACAATTTTCTTGCGTACACACTCGACACTAAAGGAAACGAACAATTTCAGCTTCAAATAAAGGACCTTCGAAATAACTCTATTAGTTCACCCCGAGCTGAGGGCGTCGTGAGTTTGGCTTGGGCCCACGACAGCTGTACTCTCTTCTATACACTATGCGACCAAAACCAACGCCCTCACAGGTAAATTCTATAACTATTCGCGTTTTTTATTATTTCGTTATATCCAGAATGTTCTGTTCTCTTAGAACAATATGCATGTATACATATATATATATATATATATATATATATATATATATATATATATATATATAGAATTAATACCCTTGATTAAATAATAGTTTCTCCCGGTCCCGATTTGGTGAAAAACGTGTTAAATTGTTAACTCGATAATTTAATAATTCGCTAAATTAATAGAATTTCTCTGGTCCCGACTGTATTAATTTATAGAGGTGTTTAACTGTAAATTGATATCAGGCTAATGCGCACTGAGGTGGGAGCGCATTCTGGAAATGATGACTTCATACTTACGGAAAACGATACTCGCTACTGCTTAGATATTACAAGTACGAAAGATGGGAAGTTTGTAACAGTGAATTCTAATTCAAGGACTACATCTGAGGAACGAACTTTTGCTGTTTCGATTCTTTGTCTTAGTGTGAAATTCTCGAAAGGTGATTTTTTGCTGGTTTAGTTTATCCGTTTTCGTTGCTAATTTCTGCAGGTTTATGTCTTGAATGCAACCAATCCACAATCCGAGCTACAAAGATTTTGCAAACGTGTATCTGGGGTACAGTACTTTCTAGAGCATCACTCGGGTTTTTTTTATGTTCTTACAAATGCTCCCACAAGTGAAGGTAAGAATTTCTCGGGTGACGGTTATTATTTAGCCGCATGCAGAGATGACGATGCTCAGTCGGCTAATTTGAAGGTAGTTAATACAGTTAAACCTCTATAAATTAATACAGTCGGGACTAGCAAAATTCTATTAATTTAGCGAAATATTAAATTATCGAACTAATAATGTAGTAGGTTTTTACCGAATCGGGACCGGAAAAAACTATTATTTAAGCGAGGTTATTAATTTATCGAGTATTAATTTATCGAGGTTCTACTGTGTTTATTTATGAATATTGACCTCGTACTATAGTTATGAATATCGGATAATTCTATCTGTTTTTTTATATTTTTTTTTATTTGGTAGAATATAATTATGGCGGGTGACGGTATCTGCTTGGAAGATATGGATATTTTTAACGGACACTTGATTCTTTTCGTTAACAAAGAGGGTTCCCCTTCAATATGTTCGATCGACATGCCTATTGATTTTGATCCTGAGGTACAAACATTTTTTTTCTCGTCCGTTCGTGTGTTACAGATTTGTGAAATATAATTATTTATTTTTGTTAGAAAATACAAATTGTTGAATTTGATGTTTGGTGTTCGTACAGAGAGAAATGGAGATAGACGATTTCAATCCATGGTATTTTCCTCTGCCTTCAAACATGTGCACAGTCACTCCAGGTTCAAATCACGACTTCGGAAGCACTGTATACCGTGCTGTACTCTCTTCGCCCGTGGTAATATTTTCAAATTAAATACCCCTTACAAATTTTGATTCTTGATAATACTATGCTAATCATTAGTCCTTAATATTTTATATATTATATTATATATATATAGGGGTAATTTCACTTACCTCCCCTAGAAATCTCATGATATTACATTCACCTCCTCATATAAAAAAAAATATTAAAATGAGGGTAAAAGTGTCATTTCACACATCCCGTGAGACATGGTAAGAAGAACCATGTAACAGGGGAGGTTTGAGCATTTTTTTAACTAAGAAGGGTGGGGTCTGTAACTTCACTATTTAATAGGGGTCCAAGTGAAATTAACCCTATATATACACATATATATATATTGTAAATCACTTGAATTATGGACTGGTTTTATGCAGACACCTGATCTAATTGTTGACTACGACATGTCGAGGAGAACGTTCTCCATTGTTCAGCAAGAAGATGTGAGAAACATTTCAACAGACGAACTAAATCACGACAAGGACAATAAGAAGCTTCTAGAAATGACACACGAAAAGGAAACAAATGTTCCGGATAATGGAAGTTCAGTATGGAAGGATTTCTCGGAGAAATACGTTTGTGAAGAGAAGGAAGTGGTTTCACACGATGGTGTTAAAATACCGTTGACTGTTCTTTTTTCTCGAAGTGCGTATACAAAGGGTCAATCCCCGGGTCTTCTGCATGGATACGGTGCCTATGGTGAAACTTTGGATAAAAGCTGGTGTTCGGATCGTTTGAGCTTACTTGATCGGGGTTGGGTTTTCGCATTTGCTGATGTCAGGTATATTTTTATTTTTTTCAAGTCGTCTCGTTTTTTTATTTTCTTGAATTTTCAATTATCTAGAAAAAAATTAGCTGGTATTGTTTTGTTGGATCATCTATTTGGTTTTTATGTTTGTTTTGTCTTTTCTCGTTTGCTTTAGATATATCGGATTTCCCTGCTAACTAACTAATTATTTAGCTAGTAAGATGTTCGGTTAATTGTATTGGATTTAGTATTAAAATTGTTAATATCTGGTATTAAATTATTTTCAAGTAATATCCCTAATTTAATAATACTAATCATATCCTAATTTATAGTGTTTATGGACAAAATCGTCCTTTTCGTATTTAGTCACGACCGACAAAATTAATCGCAGAGTTAGGGTAGCTACTAATTTTATTGGATAGAAGCAGTTAATTGCGGGCTTCAATTAGTTTGAATCTTGTCAATCAAATATGCTACTAAATCCTACTATTTCTATTTAGTCAGTCGAACTTAATAACGGTAACCAAACGAGGCCTGATCCATAAGTTTAATGAAATTTACATTAGTGCCATTCATTTCCGAACAAAATATGTCAGTACAATATTTTCTTTGCTCAGGGGTGGTGCTGGTGCCGATCCTAGTTGGCATAAATCCGGGAGTGGATTGAACAAATTAAACTCCATACATGATTTTGTCTCGTGCGGTAAATATCTAATTAACGAGGGGCTTATCCATAAATACCGGTTGGGTGCTCACGGTGTCAGTGCTGGTGGTCTTCTTGTGGGGTCCGCAGTCAACATGTATCCAGAATTATTCCGCGCTGCCGTTTTGAAGGTATGCATAAATTTCTAAAAAGCCCTTGTTTTTTTTTGTTTTTTTACTTCTCGGCGGATAAAAATACGTGTGGTTGGACTGAGGGCGTCTTTGTCTTTTCACGATAGGTTCCTTTCTTAGACGTGTTAACCACGCTACTGGATCCCAGTTTACCCCTCACTACTTTGGATTATGAGGAATTTGGAAACCCTCAAAATCGGGACTTCTTTAAATACATTCGCAGCTACTCGCCTTATGATAATATACCTCACGGAGTTTGTTGTCCTTCGATGCTTGTGTCAGCCTCGTTTAACGATTCCCGGTAATTGATTGATTCTTTTTTTTTTATTGCAATTAAATGTAGCATAAGGAACTAGAACCGAACAATTTACTGACTAAAGAATTAGTTAGTCAATAAGGAGTTGACTTAATCCGACGCATTATATGTGATTTTACGAAGTGTTGCTTCTTTTTTTTTTTCAAATCCGCAGCGTTGGTGTTTGGGAAGCTGCAAAATGGGTGGCCAAGATTAGAGATAGTGCGTGTGAAAGGTGTTCGTGCGAAGTAATACTGCAGACGAATATAACGGGAGGGCATTTTCGTGAAGGTGGTCGTTTTGCTCGTTGTCGTGAAACAGCCTTTGATTATGCTTTTTTAATCAAAGTTATGGCCCCAACTCAGGACCTGCAAAAATAATTTCAAGTATAATTAGAAAATAAATTTTGCTCCAATTTTTTTCTTCTTCTTTTTTTATATATTTATTTTAGTCAATTCTTTGTATTTTCTGAGTTTAGTATATGCACATTTAATTTGTTGATTTAATGGAAATTTTTAATATTAACATCAATGAGCCAATGACTATGGCAGTGTATGACATGCTACTCTTTCATATTGAATTTTTTATTGGCTTAATTTCACTTTGCACCCTCAAGTTTGCACCATATGCACATTTGATACACATGTTCACAAAAAACACATTTGGTCCCTCATGTTTCAATATTTTAACATTTTTGTTATTTTCGTCAATTTACTGTTAGTTCGTTAGCAAAAGCAGTCACGGGCACATGCTTGATTCCGTTAGCACTAACAAAAAATTGACAAGAATGACTAAAAGTGTTGGATTTTTTTTAAACATAAAGGATCAAATTTGTTTTTTGTGATTTAAAATCTGTGCAAAATTAAGGGATGAAAACTCTATTTTTCCCTTTTTTTTATTTATTATGTTAAAAGTTTTGTTGAAATAAATATATATACAAGCTTTCTCAAATATTGGATTTTATTTTGTCAAGCACTATGGATATATTTAATAAACAAATATTTTTTACATAAGTTCTAAAGGACGTGGATTTTTAATACAAATATCATGATTTACGATTTTGATCGTGAGTTGAAGAATGAATCGTAGTAAATTACGCAAAGAGGTATCCTAGTTCAATAATACTTTTACGTACACCAGACAACCTTAAACAACCTTAAACACTTCAAAAACAAACAACTGCATATATACATATATACTTTGAGTTCAGGTGGAATTCGTAGATTACGTACTGCATGTTTATAAATACCAGGAAAATAGGTTTTGATAAATACATACATACATCTATAGAAGCAGGAAAAAAAAAAAAACTAAGACATGGATTTCAAGAACGAAAAACTGCTGAGGCAATCGGCAACGATGGGCAGCGGTCGAGCTCGGAAACCCAACCCTCACTTTGCAATGGTGGCACAGACTGCCCTGGCGGTGGCGGTGATCTGGGTTTTCTGTGTTCTGTTGGTACACGTATCCCACTCCCGGCGGTTCTATGCCGACGCGCCGCTTGCAACTCCTTTAAGTGAGTTTTTATTATTAATTCGCTTAGCTTCTTAATTATTTTTTCCTTGTGTTTTCCTCTGCATGAATATTTAAATTTTTCAAATTTCTTGTTTCATGGTTTTGTATGTACAGTTATTAAATTAATTATTACAGTTGATAGCAGCCAAATCTATTAATTTAGTGAAATATTAATTCATTGAAATATCAAGTTAGCACGTTGTTCTCGAGTCGGGACCGTAAAAATATATTAATTTATCGAGGTTTTGTTGTACATGAATTTTTTTTTTTTTAAGATAATTCTGAAGGTATCTTGGCAGAAAATTAATTTGTTATTGGAATTAACAAATTTGGTTTTTTTGCTAAATATTTTATTCAATGTTAATATAAGTATCTGGCAATTCAGTTATGTGAATAATTAAAATTTAATTAAATTATTGAATTGTGTGTCCACAAGCTAAATAAGATGTGGATTAAGAGTTCCTGCATCAGATAAATTGTATGTTTAAAATTATTTAAAACATCTTATAAGCTCCTACATCTAATAAGCTTAGGTTTTATTTTAAAAATTAAGTTGAACAATATTAAGTTTTTTAAATACTTTAAGCAAATTGTAACAAGAATTAATAATGAGTTGTAGAACTTATTAATATAATTAACTTCCTACAAAATCTATCTTAATGTTTCTATTTCTCTTATTATATTTTCTCAATATATTTAGCATCAATAAAAATCTAAATTAAATATCACCTCCTTCTAGGACAATACTACAGCAATGGATACTTGATCGTTTCGTCGAACGGAGGATTAAATCAAATGCGTTCGGGGGTAAGATTTTATTTTATTATTAATTTATCTAATTTTTTTCGTTTAAATTTCGAGATGATTTAAGTTTTCTAATTATGAATATTTCTGCAGATTTGTGACATGGTAGCTATTGCAAGATACATGAATGCAACTCTAGTTGTTCCGCAACTAGATAATACATCTCTCTGGCAAGATCCGAGGTAATTTAATAACCTAATAAATAATCCAACTTCCCGTTTTTTTTTTCGAAAAAATAAAAATCAACGTATACTTCGTTTTGTAATGCTGCAGTAAATTCGAAGATATATTCGATGTCGATCATTTCATCAACTCGCTGAGAGACGAAATCGAGATCGTAAAAGAGATTCCTCCAGAAATGCAGCAGATACAAATACAATTGGAGATGGAAAAACATCTCTCGATGCCGCCGAGAAGTTGGTCCGATATATCTTATTACACTGATCAGGTTCGTTTAACACGTTAATTAACATAATTAAGTACCGATAATTTAATTAATTAATACTAATCGGGTTTATGATTTTCTTGATCCCGATACAGATTGCTCCAGAAAGACTCAAGAAGAACAAGATCTTGCACTTCGAGAAAACCGACAACAGGCTGGCGAATAACGGCCCTATTGAGATGCAAAAGCTTCGTTGCAAGGCAAACTACAACGCCCTAAAATTCACCTCTCCGATCGAGAAAATCGGCAGCAAAGTCGTGAAGATTTTACGCGATAAAGGCGAGTTCCTAGTCCTGCACCTTCGTTACGAAATGGATATGTTAGCCTACACCGGTTGCAACGAAGGCTGCAGCGTTGAAGAAGCAAATGACCTGCAAGCACTAAGGTCGACATTTTTTTCGATTTTCTTTTTTTAATTTTATTACTCTAAATTATTTCGCAATATCGAAAATTTAATGATTTTTTTTATTATGATAATAGATATTCAGTCCCATGGTGGAAGAAAAAAAACATAAATTCTACCTCAACAAGACTACAAGGCTTATGTCCAATGACACCCGAAGAAACGGCACTTACACTCAAAGCACTGGGCGTCGATCGAGAAACGCAGATTTATATCGCAGCTGGCAATATTTACGGTGGCGAAAAAAGATTAGCATCTCTCAGAGCAGCATATCCAAATTTGGTTAGTATATTTAAATAAAAAAAATTGAGAACCCTTTATTTATTTTAATTTTATTTACTTATTTTGCTAACTTTTTTTCACTAATTATTTATATTAAAAAAAAAGGTGAAGAAGGAGAAATTATTGCCACCATATGAGCTTTTGCCCTTCAAGAACTACTCATCACAAATGGCAGCAATTGACTACATGGTTTCATTAGAGAGTGACATATTTTTCCCTACTTACGGGGGAAACATGGCGACACTCGTTGAAGGGCACAGACGGTAATTTTATTTTATTTTCTTTCAACATTTTCGAGAACTCGAAACGAAAAAATTTCGGCTACCGGACAAAAACGTGACAAAGATTTTAATGTTGTTCCAGGTACTTGGGATTCAAGAAAACAATACAACCGAATCAAAAGGCACTAGTGAATCTCATCGACAAATACAGAAAAGATTTAAACTGGCGAGAATTCGAAGCTGGAGTTAAGAAAGCTCACGCAAATCGATACGGAAATCCGGTAAGACGAAGAGTCATGCCCGAAAAACCGAAAGAAGAGGACTATTTCTGGTCTAATCCACAAGAGTGTTTAATCTTGTAATTACAGTTTGGATTTTTTTTTTTCTTGTTATATTTATTGTTACATTTTGTGCATATCTGCTGTTGTAATAACAGTTTGGGTTTTTTGAGTCAGTAGATATATATAAATTTCATATATACTTTTATTTATTTATTTCTAGTATGTACCTTCAAAAGCAATATAATGAGTCAAGTCAGTAGTTAAATGCGGTTTCGGTTTTTCGGTTTCGGTTCGATTTCATCAAATTTGGAAAAGTAAAAAATAAAAATAAAAAAAAATTGACTTCAGATTTCTCGTAAGACAATCGCTAAATTTCAACAACCTCCGTAAAACACAACTAGTATGTACCTAACATGCATGTGTCGAAGCAAGCCGTTCTATACGAAAACTTACATAAACTCGAAAAATATTAAGAACCAAAAAAAAAATCGAGAGAATACCACATATACAACGATCAAATACTTAGCCCGATCCGTATAAATTAAATCTTTCGCCTTTTTTGAGCTTGGTCTAGGTTTTCACCATTACTTGCATTTTGGAAGGTTCCGGAAGGGATAGGAATGCCGTGATCCTATAACGATGGGAAAAATAAATTACGAGAGAAATATAAAGAATAGACGAAAAGGGCAGTTTAGTACACAAACCTTATCAATTGATATCCCTGGAGTGGGTCCCGTATTTGCTCGTTTACCGAGATTAATCTGGACAGAAATGCTGGCCTGAGAAAGATCCACGCCCGTGCTCTCGAGTGCTTGTGTTAATGAATTCAATAACCTGGTCATTATTTTCATAATTAATTCATATCCACACTTAAAAAAATAGTTTCAAAAGTGATTTATGAATGAAATAAAGAAGAGACGAAATACATCATTTTTCTTAATAAAAAAGATGTGCATGACAATCAACGGAGCTGGATGAAAGTTGTATAAACATGGCTGATTCTACGAGCGGCGTGTAGGGATGGAAATCGAACATATCAGATCTGAATTCAGAACCGTAGAAAAACTCCATTTTCTTCACAAGTGAAAAACTAATCCCGATTTTGTTTAGGAAAAATCCGAAAATTTGGAAACCGGAATTTCGGAAATTGGAATGCGAAAGCTTGTTCGAAAATTGGAAATTTACAGATCGGAATCCAAGGAATTCGGAATTTCCGATTTTTTTAGTCTACTATAATATAAAATACATAATACCATTGATATTTGAAGTGCAATTTTCGGGGGAGGGGTATTTTGGAATTTTTGGAAATTCAAATCGAATGGGTATATATTCTAATTCTGTTCCAAAAAAAAAAAAAAAAAACCGGGATATACGGATCGGAATTCGGAAATCACGTTGCAATTTCCACCCCTGGTTGAGTGTAAGAAACTACTAACCCTTGAGAGTAAACACTCGAGATGCTGATTGTTCCCCCTTCGATTGCCAGCTCATCCGGGCCGCTCAAAGCATCTGAGCCGCTAGGATATTCCGTCGACTGCGCATCCGAAGGCGGCGGCGGCACTTGTAATAACGTATGGACATATGCACCATCATTTGCATTCGGATCTCTAACCTGATCTGTTTCGATAGGAGGGTCCCGCTGCAAGGTCGCGGGGACCGCAGAAACATTATTTTCATCAAATCTGACGGGAAACGCAGACGCGGGACCCGCACCGTTCTTTACCGTTTGTGGCTGGCCGCCAAAACCTTGTACACGCCAGTGACTGTTTCTCTACAAATCAATCGAAAGGAGATCATATTTTATCAGTTACAATTCCAGTAAAACGTGTTCACCTTCTACAGTACTAATGAAATAAATAAAAATCGATCACCAGCGAGAATCAAGAAAGTAGATGCTAGAAATTCGGGTGAAAGTACTTATTTACCCATGGCATCAGCTTTGTGGGCTCTGAACTCCAAGGTTGATACGACCCCTCGTACTTTTGTACCTTCTCCTGTAAAAATTGTACATACTGAATCACCTGCATCGAGATATCAATAGTTAGGGAAACGAATGTTTTACGAAGAAACTCCAAGTCACCACACTACATTATATATATATATATATATATATATATATATACCTCTAATAGAAAAGATGCGGTGTCTCTCTTCTGATCAACGTTCGGTATCAGTTCTCTCAATATCTGAAATCTGAGGCATACAAAAAAAAGAAGAAAAATAACATCAAAAAAATTTAATTGCTAAACTTGTTACCCGAGAATTTCGTGAATAGGTTCTTTAAAATTAACTGGTTATAATGGAAAAGTCAATTAATTACATAGCAAAACAAGAAGTTGCATACATTTTCCATCAGGATGTGATAAATGTCGTTTCAGTTTTAAAATATACCGTTTTGACTTCAAATGTGATTTTGACAATTTTCGAGCCTGGAATTGGCGAAACTTAAAACAAGGAATCTCTGTAGTTCTTCGAGTTAGCTTTATAATCCAACTTGAATCACCAAGATTAGATGCCGCGCGAGAAAGATATGCATGAATCAATGAACACCACCCACAACTTTGATGTTTTGAGTGGTCTAAAATTTAAAATATAACTCATTCGTGCATAACTATTTCACCCGACATATAATCTAGCAAATTCAAGTTGGATTAGAAAGCTAACTCAAAGGACTCCATTATCTGTGTTTTGAATTGTGCCAAAACCAGATTAGGAAAGGGTCAAAATCACGTTAGAAATCCAAACGGTATTAGTAATATCCAAACGACATTTAACATTTCAGTTTTAACAGACTCCCCGGATAATATAATGAGATAGGCCATCAAAACAATCGGCAGAAGCAAACCAAAACCACGATTCAACCTTATCGTAAGGCGATTAACGAATAACTACAACTCTTCATAATCATTTTAACGCAGGCGATACTCCTATACGAAACCAATCGAACAGAACACTAGCCTTACACTCTTCTCTAAATGACTAATTCTAATAATACATAAAGAAATCTGTAAAATTTGAATAGAAGTTGATTCCATAAGCAATTCGGCAGTAAATAACACAAAACGAAAAACCTATATGAAACACGTACATGGAGCAATACATTTACACCGAACGAAATTAATCGAAGAAACACATTCAAGATATTGGAAAATTCAAATTCAAATACTTCACACACATCCACGTCAATTAAATATATTATGAAAAAAATATTCACCTCTCGTTGATTTTGCTCCTCCGCCGCTGCTCGGTGACCGAGTGTTTCGACCTAATAGCATTAGCTCTGTCACTGTTCTTCCCATCTAATAATAAAATTGAAACGATCAGATTCTCAAATTCAAAAATCCAAACTATTGCGCTTCCCCCAGAAAACACCCTCCCAACAAAAAAATTAGACAGAAAAAAAAAGGTACTAGGGTTCAGACGATATATAATTAGAATTATAGAAACGAAAACAAGTGTGTGTGTATATATGTATAACAAGTGTATGTATATATACCTTTGGAATTGTTGGCGGATGACGTGGCGTCTTTCCTCGTACTGAAATCTTCTTCCTCCTCCTCTTCCTCTTCGTTATGACTCTTTCCAGATTTCATTTTTCCTGTTTTTTTTTTTTCAATTTCCCAAAGATTGAATCTTTGAGACAGTAATTCTGCACAAATCGAGTAATTCAACTGACCCACAAGAAAATTAAAGCAAAAGGGCGAAAAGATCTAGGTTGAAATCAAATTGACGGGGAAAGATTGGAGCTTTTCTTATGTGGAATTCGGAGGAGTGGAATTTGGGGGTGATTCTGAACAAAATAGCAGTGACCAATACACCCGTCTTTATCGTTCGGTATATGGATACACACAATGAGCTGGTCTTTTTATTTTCACTCTATTATATATATATATATATATATATATATATATATATATATATATATATATATATATATATATATATTTATTTATTTATTTATTTATTTATTTATTTTCATTTTGATTTTATAATTATAATTAATACTTATATATTTACTCTACTTCTTTTTGGCTTTTTTATGAATTTTTTTTTTCTTTTTTTATGTGTGTGCGGTGTTCCCTTCTAAAAAAAATATGGGTAAATTACGGTCAAATTATGAAGAAAAAAAAATTATGTTTGAGTAATTACAATTATCCACTCAAGTGTGAATCTTTTTACATGTCGACTCTTACGATCTCAAATTCAACAGAATCTTCTAGATACGGTGAAATATTCTCTAATTTGTACTTGTTTCGTGTAAAATTGATTTTTTGATGCGCAACGATTGGTATGCTCAAGTCGAGAGACATTTTATAATCATTTTGTTTCAAAATGTGAAAACGGGTACAAACTGGAGACTATTCTACTATAAGATTCTAATAAATTTGACACGGTAAGAATGCACGTGTAAGAAGATTCATAAATTAGGGTAACTGTAATTATCCAAACATGAGGTTTTTTTTTTTTTTTTTTTTTTTATTTGACCTTACCTCCGAAATGGGAAATGGGCGTAATTTACTATTATAGGGTTCAAATTTTCAAATATAATATTAATTTATTGTTATTGAGGAATTTTAAATTTAATTGAAATTAAACGTACATATTATCTAACCTTACATATTCTTTTAAATGAATGACTTCTTTAATAAATTTAAATGACGATAGATAGTTCATAGGTTTTATCTATCCTACACCCGGTGAAGGTTACACCGGGTGATTTTTTACCGTTGATCTACACACACCAATGTGGGTGTGTGTGTGTTTGTGTGTATATTAATAGTAAAGATCTACCCGGTGTATTTCACCCGGTGTAGGATCTCAAATTCATAGGATATATCATACTATGGGCTGGATTTGTAATTTAGTGGGCTAGCTCAAAACGATATCACATAAGAAACCAAATGATTTCGGTATATTTGTCAATTCCAGAAAAGCAACGTTTTGGAACTGGTCGGATCGGCCCGTTGAACGGCGAACCGTTTTCTTGTCTTGCCCGGTTCGGCCGATTGAACCGTAAAATTAGGATGCGGTGGAAAGTCGAGTTTTGCCCAAAATTGTGCATTTTGTTTTAATTTAAAAAAAAAAATACAAACAATCAAATGAAATGGCTAACACGATGTTGTTTTACTGTCCAATTGAAAAATGGGCAAATGGCAAACAGGCCCATGACAAGGCCACTTAATTAAAAGATGGACATCTAATTTTTTTGTCTTTCAAATAAATCCAACCCATTCAAACTTATTTGCAAATAAGGAAAATCATTTTATATATACCAAAATTACCCTCAATTCATTGAAACTCAATTCAACTCCAATTTCATGATTTACCCCTCAATTTAGCCCAGTTTCACCAATTAACCAATTTTAACCCTAATTCAATTTTGACCCGCCACCACCGGAGACCGCCGGTCTCCGGCGTTGATTTTTTTTTTTTTTTTTTTTTGAAAACTTTTTTTTTCCTTAGGTCATCCGCCGTTGACCGCCGGGTCTCCGACGTTGCCTTTATATATATATATATATATATATATATATATAGCCTTAACCAGCCGATCGGGGCCAACATG